GCTATGAGTCGGGGCCGACTCGATGGCACATAACAACAACAACAATTTGAAGGAATCAGCTATTTGAAATTCTAAGAGAATAATTTATAGGCAAAGGTTCTATATATGAAGGCTTGATAATGGAATGTTACTTCAGTATGGTTAAATATAAACAGAATTGCAGTGTGACAGGAACATGATAGATAAGAAGGATAGTAGTAACATGAGGGCAGAGGAGTTGTCAGTAGCCAGATCATTAAAAGCTTTATACACTGCAGTAAGTGAAAGACTTATCCTAAGTACAGTTTTGATCAATGGAGGAACACATTGGCTGGTGTATAGAAAATGGGATGTGGAATAGTGGTGATGAGAGATGAAGTAAGGGAAATATTTAGGAGGCTTTTGTAGTTTTCCAAGTGAAATATCAAACTTCAAGTATGGAAGTGGTAGACTTGGAGTGAAGTTGACCAATTCAAACAGTTTGGAGGCAGACAAGGAAGGAGTTACTAGTAGGTGGGGTGATGAAAGAAAAGTTATCATAGATGACCCTCTAGATTGGGAATGAACTACAGTTCAGAAGTAAACAACATTTACTGTTAGTGAAGACATGGAGAAAAACAGGTTTGGGTGACAAGATGTCAAGAGTTCTCTTTGGGGCATGTTAATTTTGAGATGCTGGAAAACATTCAAGTTGATGCTTTCATTGATATGGACAAATGAATTTAGATTTCAGGGAGCAGATCAGTACCAGATTTGAAATTTATTAACAAAAACATACAAGTAGTATATTAAGTCATGGAAATGGATGATATGGCTTATAGAGATGGTATAGAAAGAAAATAGAGTAGGAAGTAGGACAAAGAGATACTGTAGTTTGATTTGGCTGTATGTAGGTTCTTGGTGATTTGGGCGTCTTTCAATTGAATGGCAAAGAAAGAAGCTCTATTATACTTTCATTAGACATTATAAAGAGAAGATAGAAGAGTTTTAACATGATATTTAACATGATATGGGATTGCTGATAGCATAGTGCCTAAGGCATCTGACTGCTAAACAGAAAGCTGGTGGTTCAAACCTACCGGCCACTCTGCAAAGGAAGAGTGGGCAATCTACTTCCATAAAGATTTACCACCCTGGAAACCCAAGAGGGTTGCTATGAGTTGAAATCCAGTTCATAGCAGTGAGTTTGTTTTTGTTTGTTTGTTTGTTTTAAATGGAGAAGTTGGTCACTATTTTCTGTTTTTCCTTAAAAAAAAGAGAAAACTTTGATAAGTAATTTTTAAAATTTTCTTACATCATAAGCCAGTCTCTTCTTTCTCACACAAAATAATTCTAATAATTCTAGTTTCCTAAACTTTTTAAAAAACCTCATCTATTTAGACCTCTCATCAAGTTCTTTAAATATATATATATATATTTATATTTATATTTATATTTATAATGAGAAATCTCAAACTTTAGAAAACTTAATTAAAAACCTAATCAGCAAGTTCCAAAAATATTATAAGGAAGATAATTATCAATTAAAATTTTAACTTGGTTTTATTATTATTATTATTAGTCCAAATTTGGCTTAAAATAAAACAAAAGTAACTTACCTGATGTACCTGTCTTGGCTTAGAGGTGAAGAACTCGACATCCATCAATGCAGTTGCAGTTGTTTGAACTTAGAAGTTGGTGGTATAGGCTTGCACAGATGTAATGATGTCGTTTGCTTACTCTCTCTCTCACTGAGTAATACTAGCTTTCTTTCATATTTACTTGAAAGTAGAAGGTTGAAAATTGTGTTGGATCTATGGTTTAATGTCTGCCTTCTTAAACATTTTTGAAAACTTTTTTTTTTATATTAACAGATCATCTTTATCTTCTGCATCCTTAATTGAAGAGTCTTCTTCACATCTTTCATTGAATCTTTCATATCCTCAAATTTGGGGTTTTAAACAAGTCCTCAATCCTCATTTTTTCTCAACCTGTTTCTTACATTTTTATGAATATTTTCTGAGTGCTTTTATATTTTTTTTCTCCTTTTTAAAATTATTTGATTAATTCTTTGGTTCTGCTTTTTCTCTCATAGATTCAGCTTCACACTACTAAACTTGTTCCATCAAATATGCTTGGGAGTAATTCTCTCCATTGGAATTATTATCCCACATCTACTTGCCTTTCTTTGCATCCTTAGCATCACTCTTCTTGGCGTCCTTCTTGGCATCTTTCTTGGCATCCTTCTTGGCGTCCTTCTTGGCGTCCTTCTTGGCGTCCTTCTTGGCATCCTTCTTGGCGTCCTTCTTGGCATCCTTCTTTAAATCAGGAGATTCTGCATCAGTGTCTTTCTTTGCATCTTTCTTAGCATCTTTTTGGGATCCTTTCTTGGCATCCACCTTTGGTTCACTCTCTGTCTCACTGGACTTCTTTTCATCTTTCTTCTCTTTTTTACCATCTTTCTTCTTTTTAGACTCTTTCTTGCCACTGTCCTTTGATTGCTCATCTTTCTCACTGGACTTTTTTAAATCCTTCTTGCCTTCCTTCTCCTTCTTTGCATCTCCTTTTCCAGTTTCAGATGGTGCAGCGGAATCCTTGCCCTTCTTTGAATCCTTCTTCTCTTTCTTGGCATCTTCCTTTACACCCCCTTTATCACTTTCAGTGTCTGTACTTGTCCCCTTGCCCTTCTTTGAATCTTTCTTTCTTTTCTTGCTATCTTTCTTGACACCTCCTTTTTCACTTCCAGTATCAGTATCCGTGCTTTTGCCCTTCTTTACATCTTTCGTATCTTTTTTCGCATCTTTCTTTATGTCTCCTTTTTCACTTTCACTTTCTGTGTCTGTGCTCTTGCCCTTCTTTGAATCCTTTTTTGGTGTCTTGGCATCTGTTTTTGCAGCATCTTTTTCATCCACGCCCTTCTTTACATCTTTTTTATCTTGTTTTTTCTCCCTTAAAGCTGTGGATTCTGCTTCGGACTCTGGTTTATCCTTTTTGCCTACTTTCTTGTCTTCTTTATCTTTCTTACCCATTTCTGGAGGTAAATGTTTCTCCGCATCTGCTTCTTTCCAGATCTTCTTGGGGGCATACGTTTGTTTGGATGGGGGCTGCCTCCTGGCAGCTAAATAAACAGAGGGTCTCTCGGAAATTCTCATTAAGGAACGATGCATCCATAATGGTCGTCTTTGATCTTCCCTTAATTTTTCCATATCATAGTTCTGAAATATTGTTTAGAATAATGATGAAAAACTTGTGTATGAGTTATACAATCTTTATTATGAGATATCAAGTACAATTTTAACTTCAACCATGAAAAGATTTAGATTTTGATAAATAGTGCATAATTTCTAGATATTTTAGTTTTTTCTGTTTTCGTTTCGTTTAGTTTTCAATTTCATTCTTATTTGACTTACCTCACACTTTGGGCCCCATTTCAGTTTAAGTGATCATCATAATTACCTCAAGATTTTATATTATAATTGGTATAGACCTATAATGAATTGTGACAGATCAAAACATCTCGAAATCAAAAGAGGTTTTTATTTTGTTTCGAGGTGCCATGTTCTTGAGAAGTCTTGGAATGTCTTGCCCACAATTCTCCATGCCTAGGCTAGCTCAGAAACTTACTTTTCTCTAATATTTAACAACTAGTTTTAGGCATATCTTGATTCTATATTCACTTTCAATGTCTCTGAAAGTTAGAAAGTTACATATGTTTAAAGGTAAAAGCCTGAAGCCCTCCTCTCTGGCAGAATATAAAACAAGCATTATCAGATAGGGAAGTGAAAAACAGTAGCATTTAAACCCAAAAAACCCACTGCCAGCTAGTCAATCCTGACTCATAGCAACCCTATAAAACAGTACAACTGTCCCATCGGGTGTCCAAGGCTGTAAATCTTTATAAGAGCAGACTAGCCCATCTTTTTTCCCATAGAGCAGCTGGTGGGTTCAAACAACTGACCTTTTGCTTAGCAGCAAATGCTTCAAGCACTATGCCATCAGAGTTCCTCAGTAACATTTGTTGTACATTAATTTGTAGAGAATGGTGCATTTTGTTCTCAACTCCTAACCAAATGTATGCAAAAACTTAATGGCAAAAATAGATAATTTTGATAAGAATTTTAAGACTGAAAACATAAACTGAATAAAGGCATGAAAAGATAGAAGAAACTTGAATGGCTCTTAATAGAATTAATGTTCTTAAAATGAACAATAGTTTATGTTACATTTATTTGGTGATACTTTTCTTAGAATCTTTTCCTATTCCACGGGTAACTCAAGATTGCTGTTATTCTTGTCCATTGGTAAGATTCACTCTTTGGTGAGGAAATAATGGGAAATATTTTCCCTCCATTATCCAGGCTCTGAATTGTAGATTACAAAACACAAGAAATCATCAACTTCATATAAAATGTGTATGTAGGAACGGTTTAATGTAATTCCATTATTCTATTGAGAGGACTTCTCCACCTAGGAACTATTTCCTGAGTTTATGCTAACTATAGCATTAGGTTGTGCAGCTTTCGATGCTTTTTGGATACAAAAGTTCTACAATATGGGGGATACGAAGCAAACACTTAACATGAATTAAGGGGAATTTGTGGTCCTGGGAAATGTAAATAAAATATCTACTTTCCTCAAATAGTAGAATTTGAATTATCTTCAACTGTGCTGCCCAACATGGTATCCAGTGACTACTTGTGACTATATAAACTTAAGGAACTCTGGTGACATAGTGCCTAAGGCATTTGACAGCTAACCAGAAGGCTGACACTTCAAACCCACCATCCACTCCTCAGAAGGAAGATTGGGCCATCTACTTCCATAGAGATACTGCCTCAGAAACCCAAGGAAGGGTCACTATGAGTCAGATCCAACTTGATAGCAGTGAGTTTATATGTATACATATATATGTATATACATACACTTAATTAAAGTTGAATAAAATATAAAATTCAGTCTCAGCTGTACTGGTGTCATTTCAAGTGTTCAGTAGCCATAACAGACTGCAAAGATATGGCTTATTTCTATCATTGCATCAAGTTCTCGTGTGTGTGTGTGTGTGTGTGTGTGTCCCTGTGTGTGCATACATATTATAAGTTTATTACTAGTAAACTTTAATATGATGTTTTTAATACTTACACAAGCTAGATTTTCTTGTAATTGGGAAGGTTTAGATCTCCTTTTCGTTCCTGGCCGGGGTGGTTTCGGAAATATCAGGGCAAAGTGTTGTTGATTCCATGATTTTTTGCTTAATTCGCTGACTAAAATAAGAAAGGACATAACAGACTCTTTGGAGTAAATGGTGAAAATTTCATCAGAAGTTTAATTGTAGTAAGTAAAATATATATTATGTAAATAAAAAAAAAAGATTTGCATTATGGTTCAATTTATTTGCTGTTTTAAATTCTCTGCTATCAATATGAGAAAATAAAAAATAATATTTCTATTTTGACCAGTTTTATAAATAACTCTATAAAGTAGTCATTGTGATTAGCATAGCCCTTAATAGAGAAAGAAAAAAGCAATTTTACTGATTCCATTTAAATTTTTCCATTTCTTCCAGTCTAGATTTTCGCTTTATGTTCTTTTGATTAGAATACAGTCATATTGACAGCATAAAAAAACATTAACTACTCTGTAGCACCTAAAGAACTTGGCACACTTCCTGGCATAAAATATTCAGTAAGTATGTGATCAAATCTAAGTGCTAAGGTTTAAGATCGTGTTAGTTATTAATTTTCCAAGGGAAAAATATGACACACCCAAGAACTGCATAAATAGGCCATGGGTGACTAATTTAATTCAGAAAATTTACAAAAGAATGTCTATAGAATGGTGAATAGAAGGGTGAAGTTTCCTGGAAATTATAATAGAAATGATTAAAGACAGGTAACCAATAAGAGCAATGAGAGGCATTACTGTATATAAATATTTGGCTTATTATTGGATGTAAGAAGAAAGAGGCTTGTCTGTGATTATCTTAAAGATAGAACCAGAATCAATGCAAAGAATTTACAAAAGGGCAGGCAGACTTGAAGCTCAAATATGATGGGAAACAACCTCAGATGTTAAGCTGTTCAACATCAAACTGATTGTCTTGTGCAGTAACGAAATTTTGGCCAAGTATTAACTAGGTCCAATCTGTCAGGAATGAAGTAGAAGAGATTCTTGACATGGATGGAAAGTTGTTTCTCCAATCTCTGTGTTGGTTTTCGATTGTAATAAGATCTGATTGTGTGATTTCTAACTGCTGAACATATTTTCTGATTCTTCCATGGATTTAAATATTAAACAAAGCATGTTTGCAAAATGTTTTCTTGAGCCCAAGAGAAAGGTGGTGTGAGAAATAAAAAGTTGATTTTTAATAATATCCCATGTTGTTGTTGTTGTTATGTGCTGTCGAGTCGGACCCGATTCACAGCTACCCCTCCTTGGGTTTCTGATGCGGTATCACTACGGAAGTAGATTGCCCCATCTTCCTTCCAAGGAGTGGCTGGTGGGTTTGAACTGCCAGCCTTCTGCTTAGCGGTCAAGTGCCTAGGCACTATGCTACCAGAGCTCCCAATAATAGCAGTTTTTGTTTTATACCTTTGAATTAAGGATAGTAATCACTTACCCCTAACATTAGTCACATATGCTTTGTAAATAAGTATGGTAATCCAAGTCACAATTCTTACCTGGAATGTAGTTGTCATATGTTCCAAAGTTTATTTTTCGGCTATTAAGACAAAAGGGAGAGGTTTTAATGATTTTATAGAAAATTAGTATAATTAATGATTATTTTTATGCTTAAGCATTTGCCACCAATAACTTGAAAAATATTTTGCATTGAGATCTCACTATTATGTAAGATTGTTTCATCCTTAGAAAAGTAGATGAAAAAAAATATATGTTTTTAACACAAATTTAAACAGAATTAATCCCTAGTACACCAAAACATAAACACAACACACACATACACACACATACCCCATCCGGAAAATATACTATATTTTTAAACATCGTAAAACCATAATTGATTTAATTTTCCTCACTGCATATCCTAAATTATTTTGCAATTGAAATTAATAGACATAATTATTGAAAACATCATGAAAATCAGATTCTTAAAATATAAGAGAAAGAAGAGGCAAGATGGTGAACTAGGCAGACACAATTCCTAGACCCTCTATCACAAGGATCCTAGAAACCAAGAAAAACATACATGAATGATAATCCTTGAACCTGGGTGTCAAAGGAAAGAATGAAGTAGATCAGATATTGATTACAAGAAGAAACTGAGTGACGAAACAAGTGGCACACAGAGCAGCGAATTGTTAACTGGCTCGGCATAGTGTCGCCATTTTGAATTATTGTGGGCAGTTTTCTGATTGAGGCAGGAACCAGATAACCAGCTCTCTTCACTCTGGACTATATTAGTGTCCATACAGGTGAATGGTCAGCAGAGAGGTGTGATTGCACGCTTAGCTCCACAGCCTCTCACTGACCAGAATTGTAGCTACCTTCTATCCCCACCCTCTCAGCAGCCAGTGGCATCCCTCCTACATCATCCATGCCCCATCTGATGGGTATTTTGGCTTGCTGTTCATCTCCACTCCCATAGCTCCCCTCCACTCTGCTCCTCTGGCAGCCTGAGATTTACTCTTGTTGAACAAGCAAGGCATGGACATCAAATCTGGAGTCAATGAGGTGTGCTCTTGGGGATCGGGTGCCATGTGCATGCCAC